GAAACCTAAAAAGGTGCCCGAGGGCTGAGGGAGAGTACCCAAGAAAGGACAAACTTGGCAGGGTCCCCCACCCCCGAGACTGGGGTTCAGACCTCACTGTAGCCCACTGGGTGGGAGACAAGTTCACGGGTTTGCTCAGACCAGAGCAGCTTCATGGCTGCCTGGCAAGACGCAGCCCTCCAGGACACAGGTGAGCCGAGGCCGGTGAGCAGGTGCACGGGCAGCGTAAGGCCACCACCTGTAGGCCCCAGGCCCAGAGCCCACAGTGTCCACATTGGGAAACAACCTTCCAGGCTACAGGGGAGCCAAGACTGTTGGGAAGGTGACCAAAGGAATTAAGCGTGTCCTGTGTGCCCGAGGCCTGGAGTGCATGACCTCCACACAAGGCGTGGAGGGCCACGCGAATCAACCCTCCCAGGATAAGGGCCGAGGTTGGTGAGCAGACGTGCAGAGGGAGTCGGGGCACTGCTGTGAGTACGTGGTGTCCATGCCTGGGGGGCTCCGGGACAATGGTCCGGGGCATAGGTGAAAAAGGCCCAGGGTGCATATGCAGAGAGTTAGGGAGTTGACACAGGTACAAGGCCTGGAGCATGCAGCCTCCCTCCCAGGAGGGCCACTGTAAAGTAGTCGCTGGGGCTAGACCCAGTCTGCAAGGTTGCCGAGGGAGGGCTCACTGCTGGTGCTGAGCTGGCGCCCGTTTCTGTGCTCAGGCAGGGCTGATAGACCATGGCACCAGAGCAAGGAAAAGCAAACCAGAGCTCCCTGCAGCCCAGAAGACAAGTCCTTTCCTCCCTCGAGTGTCCCTCCAGTGCCCTCTACTGACAAAGCTAAAATCGGGCTCACTGCGAGGAAGAAATGCTGAGTCCCGTCCATTATCAAAGAACAGGTACTAAATCGGGTGAATCTGGAACTAAGAGGCAAAAAATAGATACCAGAATTCATCATCTTGGCTACTCAGCATCCATATGTGTCCTTCTAGACATATTTGAACTTCCCTATCAGTTATAGTCCTACCAATAAAATATGTCTATCCTTAAAAGTGATGTTCTCACCCCTCTCCCAAATGAGAAGACACAGTCCTAACTATCACTGTTTCCAGAGCTGGCTATAGTAATTACTCCACAATTTTAGTCATGGTTCCACGAAATATTCTATTACCTAAAGATTAAATTATAAAGTTAACCTGCTGCAATGTGTACATAAAATAAAAAGGGAAGTAAAAAGAAGAAAATGGTCAGTACATACAAAGATATATATAAGAATCAAAGAAACACATGCAAAGCTACTACATTCCTCGTTTTTGTAACGGTTCACCTTTGTAACAGATCACAAGGTCACAGTTGATATCCATGGCTTCCTTCTTCAGCTACCCATTCCGTATTTCCCTTGTCCTCAGCTGAGATTCTGGTGCTTTGGGCTCTTTACTTGGTACAGTCACCCAAACCCTCATTCTAAAAGATCTTAGTCCTTAATTGCCCTGCTTTTGGGGAAGCATGGATGTACTGAGAGGTGCCCCCAGAGAATCCTCTAGGTTCCAGAGATAGTCTTGCCTCCCTCCACTGTGTAGCAACAGTGGAATTTTCCCTTGAGAATCAGCATCAATTCAATTACTCGAGCCAGTAGCTTGGGCCCCCTCCCTCTTTTTTTTGCCCCATAGTTTAGTGGCATAGGGAGCCCAAAATGGCCAGGTAGCAGTCCCTTCTTCCAATTCAGTGGTACCATTTTTGTGTCCCTTTGTGGACCATTCCTCACTTGCGAACCAAGATCTCCAAATCAGTAGGCTCCAATTTTTCAGGATAAGAGGCAAAAACTGTGAGTGGGTAAGATCTAATGGGACAAGTCATTCCTACTCCCACCCCCTTGGTTCCTGGACCCGTGGATATTGGCCAGGGGGATGACAGCGCCATCTAATGGACTCTCATTCAAGGAAGTCCTTCATTCTGTATATCAAGCCGCATCCTTTCATGATGTTGTCTCCCACCCCGTGCTATAACCCAGTCTTCAGTAAGCTGTTCCACTTTTCAAGCAAGCCCCCGGGTTCCGGGTGACGAAGTATGTGTGGGAAGTCCTGTTAATTTTGTGGGCACAAGCCCATTGCCGCCGCTTCCTCTGCTGTGAAATGAGGGTCTTGATCAGAGGCGATGTTGTACGGAGTACATGGTGTCCATGGCGTCTCTGCTGGGAGGGCCCCAGGGTGTGGGTGAGCCAAGGCCGGTAGGAGGGGATGCAGAGGAGTCAGGACGCTACTGCAGGGTAAGATCTGGAGCCTCGGGTCCATATCAGGAAAGCTCTGGGAAACACCCCCTGGTGTGCAGCAAGCTGGGGCCAGTGGGCAGGCTCCAGAGGGATCCAATGTGCGCTGCCCTAGTGAGGCTGTGGCAAGGCGATCACCAAACCTGGGCTGAAGCTAACAGACTGCTGTGGGTCCCTCCACTCTGGGCACACAGCTGGGACAGAGCACGCTGGATGTCCCCCCACATGCACATCTCTGACAGCCTGCAGCAAGAGCAGACGCACCCCGGAACCCGGAAAGTCCCTTCCTTCCTGCAGTGTCCTTCTAGCATCCTTTTATCATCGTTCTCACTGTAAGGGAGAAATGCTCCATGGCCAGCCTGCTAGCCCAGAAGAAGTGCCGAGAGATGAATCGAGCTGAGGAGCAGTAAGTATACTGAGCAATTAAATAATACACTTGTAAAGAACGCATGGCTCAAAGAAGAAATCGGAAGGAAATTAGATAGTACTTTGAATGGAATAATAATGAAAATAAAACATATTAAAATGCCTACAATGCAGCTTTTTTTAGAAGAAATATTTATTTTTTTTTAAGATTTTATTTATTTATTTGACAGACAGAGATCACAAGTGGGCAGAGAGGCAGGCAGAGAGAGAGGAAGGGAAGCAGGCTCCCTGTCAAGCAGAGAGCCCAATGCGGGGCTCGATTTCAGGACCCTGGGATCATGACCTGAGCCAAAGGCAGAGGCTTTAACCCACTGAGCCACTCAGGCACCGCTAGAAGAAATATTTAAAACCAATGGTCTTGGGAAAACTGGGTGGCTCAGTCAGTTAAGCATCGGCCTTGGGCTCAGGTCATGATCCAGAGTCCTGGGATCAAGACCCGCATTGGGCTCCCCGCTTCTCCCTCTGCCTACCGCTCCCCCTGCTTGGGTTCCCTCTATCTCTCTAATAAACAAATGCAATCTTTGACAAAAATATTTTATTTTTTAAAAAAATATTTAAAAAAAAAAGAGGGACACCTGGGTGGCTCGGTTGGGCGACTGCCTTTGGCTCGGGTCATGATCCTGGAGTCCGGGGATAGAGTCCCGCATCGGGCTTCCTGCTCAGCGGGGAGTCTGCTTCTCTCTCTGACCCTCCCACTTCTCAAGCTCTCTCTCTCTCTCTCAAATAAATAAAATCTTTTAAAAAAATATTTTAAAAAAGATTTTATTTATTTGACAGAAAGATCACAAGTAGGCAGAGAGGCAAGCAGACAGAGAGGGGGAAGCAGGCTCCCCGATGAACAGAGAGCCCAATGCAGGGCTCAATCCCAGGACTCTGAGATCATGACCTGAGCTGAAGGCAGAGGCTTAATTCACTGAGCCACCCAGGCGCACCCCCTTTTTTTAAATATATTTTTAAAAGATTTTATTTATTGGGGTGCCTGGGTGGCTCAGTGGGTTAAACCTCTGCATTCAGCTCAGGTCATGGTCTCAGGGTCCTGGGATCGAGCCCCATATTGGGCTCTCTGCTCAGCAGGGGGCCTGCTTCCCCCTGCCTCTCTGCCTACTTGTGATCTCTCTGTCAAATAAATAAATAAAATTAAAAATTAAAAAAAGATTTTATTTATTTATATGATAGAGATCACAAGCAGGCAGAGAGAGAGGGGGAAGTAGGCTCCCCCCTGGGCAGAGAGCCCGATGCGGGGCTCGATCCCAAGACCCTGAGATCATGACCTGAGCCGAAGGCAGAGGCTCAAGCCACTGAGCCACCCAGGCACTTGGTGATTTCTTTTTTCTCACTGATTTTGATGTGCATTCCCGTGATGATGAGTGACGTTGAGCACCTTTTCATGTGTCTGCTGGCCATCTGGATGTCATCTTCAGAAAAATGTCTGTTCATAGCGTCTGCCCATTTCTTAAGCAGACGTTTTGTTATTGAGTGTATAAGTTCTCTATTTATTTTATTGTATTTTAAAGATTTTATTTATTTATTTGACACAGAGAGAGATCACAAGTAGGCAGAGAGGCAGGCAGAGAGAGGGGGGAAGCAGGCTGCTCTCGGAGCAGAGAGCCCAATGCGGGGCTCGATCCCAGGAACCTGGGATCATGACCTGAGTAGAAGGCAGAGGCCCAACCCACTGAGCCACCCAGGTGCCCCAGTTCTCTATTGATTTTAGATATTAACCCCTTATTGTATATATGACTACACTGTAATTGCTCCCACCCCCCAGGGCCCTGGCTTTTTAACTGCTTGTTTAAAAAGGTGCTGAGCCCTTACCCTGGGCTCCTTGGATGGCGCTTTGTGTGCCCCACTATCTGGGCTCATTGTCATTCAAAGGACCTGGGTGCAGGGGACCCAGGCTGCCATGCTGCCATTCTTGCTGCTTGCTGTGCTAGGAGCAATTCAGTCTTACCATCTACTTTAACCTTTGGTACGTTTACTCCTTGCCATCCTTTATGACAGGGGTGAATAGGGCCAGGTGGTTAAGTTTTCAAGGCTGCAGGCCACATTGTTTCTGCTGGAGAGGACTCAGTTTAACCACTGTCCCCTGAGAGAAGCGGTATACAATATGTAAATGGCTGGGTGTGGTTGTGTTTCGCCACCATCACACCCTGCCAACCTAACAAGAGCGAGCAGCTGGTCCACCTTCCTTTTAGAGATGGGACATCTGAGACTCAAAGCCGGAACCTGCCTAATGTCTCATATGGAGCAGGCAGTAGAGGTAAAGACGGCCCTGTGCCACCAGATCCCTTTCCACCCTTCCCCACCTTACTCTGTGCTTTGCTCACCGTTGCTAAAGAAAACCCTCAGCTTGCAGAAATTTCTGCCAATGGGAGGCACAAGTAGAGATAGAAAGGCAGAGGAGAGGGGAGGGAAACAAGGTTGGTTATGTACCCACCAGGCTTCCCGGACTGTCAGGGCCTGGTGGGAGGGCTTCTTCATACCCCTCTCCAGGTGCATGGAATCACTTCTGCTCCTTCCCCTTTATGCCCAGAAGAAAAGAATTACTGCCCACCTCCATTCCAACTAGCGAGGAGTACATAGCCGTCCTTAAATGTTAGTCACTCTATTGAAATTACCCGTTTCCTGCCCTGCCAGGACCGACTGCGGGTTAACGGGCATGTCAGCCTGTGTCCACTGAAAACCCTTTATCTTTCCACTCCTCTGCAGGAAGCGACACACTTTTATTACTCCAAATGGTATTCAGACTCCAGAACCCAGTTCACAGGCAACTTCTTTCAGTTCCGACGAGGAGTATTTTGGTCTCTCAACTCCCCTCCTGTTCTGGGTCACGTGGTGATCACGTTTCATCTTTGTGTCTTCTCTGTGCTTCTTGGAGGGGGCCTCTGTTTCTGACCCATTGTGGGGTCCGCTAACTACCTGACACCTAAATCGGCCACACTACAAGCCGATGCTAACCCCCACGCGGCGTTTGCAGAGCACCGTCGCGCAAGCTGCTTCTCATCATAAGTCCCTTGTTAGAAAAGAGAATCTTCGGGCTAGGGCCCATTTACTAATCCTGTGGTCACGGTGCCACACAGCTGACCATTTAGACCAATGCGTGACCACCTGGGGTCGGGGGAGCCTGAGACCTGCCACTGCCCCGGGGCCCCTCGGGCGACAGCTGTGCCCCCTGTCACTCTTCCTCCACGCTCAGCGAGGCGAAGTCCCACCAAAGACTGTCGGCCCGCGCTCCTCCCCGCGCACGCGTGGCCGGGCCCTGGAAACCATAGAGTGCCGCGGGCGGACAGAGGGGCCATAAGCCGGGGTCGCTCCATCCCCCGCTTCCGGCCGCGCCTCGCTGCTCTGGGAGCGGCTGTAGCGGCGTGCGCAGTTTCCATGGGGACTGAAGATGGCGCCGCGAGGTGAGATTTCGGAGGTGTGTGAGTCTCTGGTCCTGATGCCTTCAGTGTCCCTCTCGCCCCCGTTAGAGCTCGACCTAAACTCGTCATTCTCGGGGCCAGGGACATCGCTCCCCGCTCGTCTAGAGTGGGGTTTCGCAGCCCCACCCTCCCGGGATGCCTGAAGGTCTCCAGGTGCAGGTCTAGAAGTCCCCAGATCCTGAGCTGGGCCTCTTCTAGGCCGGCTCAGTTACGAATTTGCTGTGTGACCTCGAACAGGCCAGTGCTGGCCTTTGCGCCCCAATGGGCCGAATAGTGACCGGGTTAGATCTTAGAGAGGCCTTGACTTCCACCCAGAAGACAAGAGTCGGGTTTGACGGTAATTCCGGGGAATGAGGGGGGTTCAGGGAAGCCCCCTACACACACACACACACACACACACACACACACGCAGAGACGCGCGCACATGCCCTCTCTTTATCCGCAGTCAGAGGTACCCCAGGTGGCCTTTTCCACTAGCTGCGACCTCGTGTTTTCTTCCAAGTTAGGCACAGAACCATTCAAAGAACAGAGATTGAGGTGCCGTCTGGCCCATCCCTCTTATTTGTGCTCATCTTTCCAGGTAAACGGCTGTCCTCCACTCCCCTGGAAATCCTGTTCTTTCTGAACGGGTGGTATTATGCTACCTATTTTCTACTGGAACTCTTCATATTTCTGTACAAAGGTAAGGCGTGGGGCTTGACTACCGTTGCCCCAACATCCCTTCCCCACTTCAGCCCAGAGCCAACTCCCATCAAGAGCCTGCTTTTCTGTAGCTCCGCCTCACTTCTTCATTCTATGGCTTCTTCGAGAATGATTCACTTGGAAGCCCCTCAGCAAGCATTTCCTTAGTTTGGGAAATGTGGACTTCTCTGTCCCTACTCTCCCTTGTCACCTCTCTGCTGAGCCCCACTAAGCTCATTTGTGACCCTCAGAAACTGTTCAGGGGCCAGTGTACCTATGTAGACCCAGTCATTTTGGAGAGTGGAGGCCTCACAGACTCTTGGAGTTTGGGGTGAAATCCCCTAATAACGAGCCGGCCTCTAACAGACACAGTCACGCTGCAAGTTAACGTGTCCTGCAGCAGGTTAATAGATCCTGCCCACATCTCGCTAACTAGTTCATGGAAAGCTGATAAGATGCATGCCCTCTTTATCCCCAGGTGTGGGGGAGCTCTTGTGGGTGCTGTTATAGGCTTGAAAACCCTGGCTTTTCTGTTGGCAGCTCTCCTGCTACCATATCCAACAGCCAACCTAGTACTCGATGTGGTGATGCTTCTCCTTTACCTTGGAATTGAAGTAATTCGACTGTTTTTTGGTGAGTGTTGTCCAGAGAATATTTCCATTCCTTCTCAGACAGACTGCTCTCTGTAACTTGATTAACAAGAACAAGTACATAACCTAGTCTCACAGTAAGAGATTGGATCTGGTGGAAAGTCCCATTACTCCCTCTCGGAAGTTTCAAGTTGCTTCATATTTTGGGTCAAGCTTTACTTGTTTGTTGCTCTGTAGGGCTAGAGGTTGTCAGTAGCATTTTAGATAGTTCCTTCCTAATTTCCTAAGTGCTAGGAGAGCCTGGTTCCTCCTCCTGGCTTGCTTGGGATAATAGATTTGACTGTAACTCCATGTTCAAGGCCATATATGTCGCATTAGTATTAAGGTCCCCTCTGCTCTCTGAACACGGATTTCTTAGGACATTTTTTTTTTTAAGATTTTATTTATTTATTTGACAGAGCAAGAGAGGGAGACAGAGCAGAAGTCGAGAGAGCAGCAGAGGGAGAGGGAGAAGCAGGCTCTCCACTGAGCAGGGAACCTGACACAGGGCTCAGTCCCAGGACCCTGAGATCATGACCTGAGCCAAAGGCTGATGCTTAACCAACTGAGCCACCCAGGTACCCTTAGGACAAGTTTTTTATCCTCCCAGATCCAGAGCAAATTCCTTACTAGTTAGAATATCTTATCCCAGAAAACAGTGTTAAAACAGAAGCTGAGAAGAAACAGTATTTGCAACACATGTAACAAAGGATAAAGAAGGCTCACGTAAATCACTAAAGAAAAGATGACCTAATTTTAAAAATTGGTAAGGGACACTAATAGGCAGTTCATATAAGAATAATTACAGAGGATCAGTAATCATGATAAGATGCCCAAACTCATTAATAAAAAGCAAGTTGAACCAACAAAGTAACAATTTCATCCATCATATTTAAAAGATTTCCAAATACCCAGTATTGGAATGGATATGAAGACCAGGCCTCTCTATTCCCACGCTCTTTGGGAATATAAATTAGAACAATTATTTTGCTAATAGTTTTGCCATGTAAAATATGTATTTTTTCTCTAAGATTTTTATTTGTTTATTGGACAGAGATAGAGATCACAGGTAGGCAGAGAGGCAGGCGGCGGGGGGGGGGGAAGCAGGCTCCCCGCTGAGCAGAGAGCCCAACGCGGGACTCGATCCAAGGACCCCAAGATCACGACCCGAGCCAAAGGCAGAGGCTCAACCCACTGAGCCACCCAGGCACCCTGTATTTTTTTTTTTTTTTAAGATTTTATTTATTAATTTGAGAGAGAGAACGTGCACATGAGTGGGGTTGAGGGGCAGAGGGAGAGAATCTTAAGCGGACTCCCCAGTGAGCACAGAGCCTGATGCAGGGCTTGATCTCACAGCTCTGAGATCATGACCTGAGCTGAAATCAAGAGTCATAAGCTCAAAGGACCGAGTCAGCCAGGTGCCCCTAAAATTTGTATTCTTAGTCCTGACAATTACACATCTAAAACTGGTTGAAAAAAACCAAATACTTCCACAGATATGTAAAGGTACCTATTGGAGAAAGCTTATGGCCACATATTTTGTAACATCAAAACATTAGAGGGGCCCCTGGCTGGCTTAGTCATGGAGTGTGCCACTCTTGATCTCTGGGTTGTAAGTCCAAGCCCCATGCTGGGTAGACATTACTTAAAAAATAAAATTAATTAAAAAAAAATTAGAGGGGCGCCTGGGTGGCTCAGTTGGTTAAGTATCTGACTTCAGGTCAGGTCATGATCTCAGGGTCCTGGGATCAAGCCCCACATTGGGCTCCCTGCTCAGTGGGAGTCTGCTTCTCCCTCTCCCTCTGCCCCTCCCCCCGATAGTACTCTCTCTCTAATAAACAAAATCTTAAAAAAAAATTGGAAGCAACCTAAACATCTGCTAATACAGGATTAGTTAAATAAATTATAGAATTGCCTCAATGAAATCGCTCATAGCCATTAAAAAAAGGAATTAGGTAGTTATACATGGAAAGGTGTCTAACTTCCGTTAAATAGGAAAAAATAAATGGAAAACAGTATGTAGAGTATGATCCTATTTTTATAATAATAAATAGTAATATGTAAGTATACACACATAAAAAAATCTGCAGCAGTATACATCGTTCTGTAATAATGGCTGTCTCCACTGGGCAGTCCTGGGGCCTTTTAGTTTCCATATTTTCTAAAATTATTTTCTGTATTTATATTAGTTGAAAAGTTTTCAATGATTATATATTATAGTTAAAAAATATTCCCCCCAAGCAAGGAAGTCACTGTCCCTTGAGTGGGAGGCAGACTTGAAGCAGGACCTTTGGAGTGAACGACTCCATCCTGCGGCACCTCCGGAGCCTCGTGTTTTGAGCGCAGTGGGACCCCATTTATAAATCTGCCCATCCCCATTTGGGATCATTTTTCTCTGCCTTGCCAGGCTCTCCCATACCCCCAACCTTTCCTCCGAGCCCAGGGAAAGCAGGCCACTTGGAGGTGACTCCATGGGCTGTGTCTGACAGGTACAAAGGGAAACCTCTGCCAACGAAAGATGCCACTTGGTATTAGCGTGGCCTTGACCTTCCCATCTGCCATGATGGCCTCCTATTACCTGCTGCTGCAGACCTACGTGCTCCGCCTAGAAGCCATCATGAACAGCATCTTGCTTTTCTTCTGTGGTTCAGAGCTGCTGCTTGAGGTGCTCACCCTGACGGCTTTCTCCAGGTACTGCTGCTGAGGGACCATTTCCTGTCACCTGAGGGTTGGGTTCCCACCTCCTCCTAGGGAGGGACTCATTGTCCTTCTGAAGCCTGAGGGGTCTGAAGCACTTTAAGGGGGAAAAGGGTGCCCGGGGGATTGCTTTTCCTATTCAGGGTAGACAGTTACTCAGGGAAGAGATTCTCTGTTCTTTGGGGCCAAGAGGCTTGGAAGATAGAACAGTTCAGGCCAGTTGCTCTTGTTCACTGGTCTTTTAACCTTTTTTCTTTCTTTCTGCCATCAGTATGGACAGGATTTGAAGTGCAGACATTTCAGCCAGCAGCCCTCATGGGCTGAGACCACAGGTTCTTCTGGTCTTTAGCCACACCAGTGAGAATGGGGTCACGTTGTTCTGGGAAGGGTCGCAGCTCTTCCTCAGTACAGACATCCGAGCGTGAGGCCACTGGGCATCATCTTCTAAACCAGGACCATCAGCCCAAGAGACTGTGCTACAGTCCAGCGTAGGGAGGGGCGAGGCTGTCCCATTCTGGCCCGGCTCAGAGCCAGCTCCCTGCTGAGCTCCGGTTCTCTTTGATCCTCATGGCCAGAGCATCTTGTGTGGCCCACGTGGGCTCCTTGGACTTCCTTCAGGACCGGAGCCACATACTCCCTGTGAGCACAGAGAACCTCGGGACGGTCTGCTCCCAGGGTGACGCCCAAGCCTCTCACGTCGTTCCCCAGAGACTGAGCTCCAGAATTTTTTTAGTGGCTCATAGTGTTATTTTTCTACTCTCATCATGATACAAACATTATTTTGTAATAAACGTATATTTTCTATCATGGGAGTTGCAGCCTTTTCCTTATGGCACCTGTCCCTAGAATTTCATCTGCCCCAAGGGAAGGTAGGCTTTGTCCCAGTGGTTTGTTCTCAGGCTGTGCTTACTGGTCCTGTGTGGACACGAAGGCAATGACGACTTTCTTCCCCCGGCTCTAGCTTAAATTAACCCCTAAAGGCTCCGTAAGCTTCCGTATCTTCCTCAGGCCTGTCGTCCTGTAACAGACTGCTTATATGCTTCACCTCTGCCCCAAAGCCAGCATCTTTTCTCTCACTCCTCTTACAGGTCATGGTCAGCTTCTTACCAGAGGCGGGAATACTTAAAAGAAGCATAGTCAAAAGCCAGCATTTTCCATTCGTTTATTTTAAAATTTCAAATTAACATAAAAGAAAATACACTTTTTTTTTTTTAACTGGAGAAATAGTGCCCTACATGCATATATCATTCCTTTTTCCAAGACTTTAAAATTTTCTCATCTAACTCAGTAGTGGCTTTTTTTTTTTTTTTTTTTCTCTTTTCCCCCAAAAAGCCACCAGGAGCCATGACAGAATCCACTTTAGAAAACCTCAAGCCATATGGCCCCTCTGCTGTCAGATGAATCCTAGAATATCTGCTCTTGCTCAAAGTCAAAGTTAATTGGTCTTTAAGCATTTCCATGCTGGCTTTTAATTCTGCTTATTTCCTGTGATTGAGCTCCTTCTCATCCTGTGAAGGTCTCCACTGTCCAGAAGCACTGATCATTTATCTTGTTTCCTACCCCGTCTGTGTCCTTGCTTCCTGGCTGCTTTTGGAGTCTATCCAAAAACTGTAAACAGGCCTAATCCACCATGAAACAGTAACAAAAAATCTTGGAACCTCCTTGGGATTTCAGTCACAGACCCCCCAACCCCCGGCCTGTTGCTTGCACTGCTGCTTTCTCTAGCTGTGCTTTGAAGAAGTTGTTGACATCAAGCTAGACAGGAACTGGTTCTCCAGGGCCTCCCCATTCTTCTAAAGGCTCAGTGGTTAAGGTCGCTCTCCCGGCAACACAGATAAATGAATGAAAGGCTCAGTTGGAAGTTTAGAGGTGGCTTATAATTAAAAGGAACCTTAGAAAGGAATCTAAACCCCCCACTTTGGAGACTTAGAGATGAGAAGGGAACAGCCAAGCATCCCACAACCGGTTGCTAACAGTTGGATCTAGAAATCTTGTCTTAGCAGTCTATCTAGATCAAGTAAATTCTGTTCAACAGGTACCACTTGAGGAGGATGAGTAGTTGGAAATGGGGTTGGGATTAGAGCAGGAAGTCCTCATTCGTCTGATGGTTCTCTGGGAGCTTCGTGCACTGTGCTTCCTGGGGCCGGCTCCACGGAGGTTCATTCTCCCTGCGGCTTGCTGGAACCACACGTGCAGGTGTAGTCACACCACAACAGAAGGTCATACAACAGAAGCCGAGGCAGCAGGGGATGGGAATGAGCATAGCCAGTCTTTCAGGGCTAATGTGGTTGGGTTTTGTATTCAAATGCCAAGGGGAATTCACTGGGCTGCCCATCTAGACCTGAAGGACCAACATTCTGGAACAGTGGAGAGGACCTGAGTAAAGGAGTAGGCCTTGGTCACAGGGGCTGGGAGAGACCTGCTCAGGTATTTATCGCACGCGTGGCCAGGTCAGGTGACTGCAATGGCCATCCCTAGAGGCTGAGGTCTGGCCCAGTTCAGGAAGCACTTGGCACACGCGGATTTGGGTTTGTGGCTCTATACCATGACAGCAATGTATAGGAGACTAATACTCATCCAGTGCCTGGCAGAGTAGATTTAATCCGTACCATGAGCCTGTGAGGCAGAAGAAAATCAACTCAAATGTTAAGTCACCTCCTGTCTGAGGGCATTTAGCTTAAGTAAGAGTTGGGATTTGAACCAACAGGAACCCCAGTCATTCCCTTTCTGTTCCACCATTGTAGCACTTTGATGAACAACGTGTTTACTTCTCTAACTTACTGGTCCTCATGCTTTAGTTTACACGAATGTCATCTGGGACATAAAAAGTAGATTTCTAGACTTCACGTAGAAGTGGGGCTTGCTGGAATAGGCAGCACGGGACCACGGAACCTGCCTTGAGAGCCCACTCCTATTACCCTCATGCTGTGCGTTGTCAGAGCTTCCGGGGTTCTCCCTCCCCCGAAAAGTTTCTTGTGTTTTTGCTGATCTTGCTTTCGCAGGTCCCAGTATACATTATGTACCACCTGGTCTCTTGTTCATCTTTTTGTACATGTAACACTTGTCTTGGTTCCTCTGGCTCTTTGAAAAGCCAGAAGCTTTCTATAATTCCAAGGAGCTCACCCACAACACTCTGCTAAACTTTCTAATCTGTACTTCCTAAAGCTTAGACAGCATTACGGTTTCCAAAACATGTTCACGTGGCTCTCTCGGATTCTTCAAACACCACTGTGTGAAAGGCAGAACAGCTCTGGTTCTCAGCTCACAGGTTATGCCGCGGTCCACAGACAGCGGCAGCGGGCACTGGCAGGCATACTTCCAGACTCCGAGCAGAGGAGTCTTCCCTTCCTCAACTTGAGAACATCAGAACCGAACTGTAAGGGGAAGACATTTACTCAAGAGAACGAACCTTAGGAATCTTGAAGGACAAAGGACAACTTGGAATTTTTCTTCCCTTAGCTTAGCTGGCTAAGGAAGCAAGCTAACCCTCATGGGGCGCTTCAAAGACCTGCACTCCAGGCCCCCTGGAGTCGCGCAGGCCACCACACGCCCAACCGGCGCTTCTAGCTCCGAACTCGGGGCTTCAGTGCCATCCCAGAGCCTCTACGTCAGCCCCGGCCCAGGTCCCAAATACCTCAACAAAGCTATTCAATGCAGAATCCATAAAACAGCTCACACCCCATTTATTATTTAAAAATATTTTGTTACAAAAGGAAAAAAATACAATGCAGTATAAAAGATTGACAGCGTCATCAAGTTTATTACACAATTTTCAACCTATCAGAAAGACAAACAAATCACCGACAACAGGGGGACGGGGCCTTGGCCTTTTTGAGGGCTGGGTTTTTTTTTTTTTTTTTTTTCCTTTTGCTATCAGGAAATAGAACTAAAATTTGTGTCATTGAGTAAAAACAAAACAAAAATGGGGAGAAAAAATTCTCCGGGTAAACGGCTTTTCTGGTATTCTATATATTTTTTTTCCTTAAACTGTCACCTTACTTGGTTTTCTCTACATTTTAAAAAGACACCCGGAGCTGCTCTCGAGGATAAGCACATCACTTAACACTTGGCCAGCCGGGCGGGGGGCCATGTTCTGAAGTGGAGGTGGGGATGGGGTTGGGGACAGGGGGAAAAAAGCTACAAACATGTAGCCTCTGTCCCAAGGGAATGTGCCTCTCCAACCCTGGGGACCCCCTCACTGACCGAGTGCTACGTCAGAAACGTGCAGGGAAGAGGAAGGGTTCCGGTCCAACTCCGTCTCTTCCCTCTGAGCCAGAGGGTCTCGGGTGACCCTGCATCTCACATGCCACAGCTCGTCCCACATGCCACGTCTCTTCTCCTGTTAGATGTCACGTGCCCCGTACACGCACGCAGAGGCAGCAGCCATCGCCCCACGGGTACCGCAGGACTCTGCTGCTGCAGCTGTCGTCGGCAGCAACCACACCCAACTTGGATGTTATGGGAAAAGCAATTCCATTTGCCTGTGTAGAAAATGGCCCCCGGAGTGGTGGTCCTCAGACCTCTGAGCTGAGCTCACCTGAGTCAGGCCCCACTTCCTCCTCGCTCATCAGAGGTAGGAAGCACCTCCACACTGAGCGAGGGGAACTATTAATACATCAACAGTCAAAAGGTGGAAAGACACCAAATCTGAGACTTCACCTGCCTGCTAGCGCCAGGTTCTCCCACAGTGAGTAAAATAGGTATGTACCTGGGGGATGCAAGCCCATGCTTACATCGAACCTGAAAAATGAAAGCCTCTATGGAAGCAGGCCACAGCCGGCCCAACCTGCCTCCGTCCTCCCGCTCCTGGAGTTCACAAGGGTTCTTCACTGCTGAGGTCCGATGTCCCCATCTCCCAAGGGCAGTAGCTTCCTCTAAAACAAGGAAGCAGCCTTCTTGGGGGAGGGGCTCCACGTGTGAAATGAAAAAGCCCCAGGAAAGGGAACACCTAGTACAGCGGGTTCTTCCAAGAGGCAACCAAGCACGAAGCAGCAGCGGGTGGTAACTGGCTCTGCCAGGCTCCCCGGCAGCAAGCAACCTCAGGGGCCTTCTCTACGTAGGAGGGGCAAGTCCACTGAGGCGGCTGGGCAGCAGGGAGGTGGGAAGGTTCAGCCCTCTGGGAGGTCAGGGAAACGAACCGTCAATATGTAAGAGGGAAAAGCAAGAACAGGAGAAGCTTCTCGTAAGGGAATCTCTGTTCTCAGAGTCCCTCCTCAAAGGGCTGGGAAGGTAAAGGAGTTAAACAAAGAAGTGGTATGTTAGCAAGGGGTTTGGACCCTCTTGGCCCCACCAAGCCTCGTGCGGAGGGCAGGAGCCTGGGCATATTTTGGCACACCCAGTCACTCTCCCGGATCCTGCAGGGAGGATCCGTTTCCTTTGGGAAGAAAGTCTTCCTATCAGCCTCACCACTGAACTGCTCCTGGACAATCAGAAACTCCTACATTTCCTTGGACAAAGCACCATTCTCTGTGGAGACCAGGGGCCTGGACAGGTTTTCTTCCTGTCTGCCAGCCCTCCCAACCACACAAAGTCTTCAGGTTCCTTCCCCTGACAAACAGGAGGGGTGGGACTGGGAGGGCTGCCAGGCAGTCTTCAGTCCTGTAGGGCAGAGGGTATTCCCTGGGTGTCTGAAGGGGGTGAGGGGTTTGGAGGAAGGGGGGGGGTGGAGTGGCCTCCGTCCTTTAGTCCTGATCAAGGTGAGGAGATGCAAGTCCATTAAAAAAACATTTGCTTCCAACCAGACTCCTGCAATGAGAACATCAGAAGAAAAGAAAACACACGTTAGTGGTTACCTTCCGACTGATGGGCTTAC